CAACGTAAATATTTTAACAAAAATTTTGTCACAAAAAAATAATATATAAATTTATCACAAAAGTTTAATAAAAAATATTATTATTTCAATACTAATCAATTTTGATTAAAATTAATCAAACCTGATTAAAATTAATCAGGCCCAAACTAATCTCAAGTTTTATTGAGTTTCACATGTTTTATAATGCAAAAATTGATTTTCTTAAATATTTCTTATCGATGTGTGATATATTTATAGTGCAAAACCTTATTTTCTTATATGTTTTTTATCGATGTGGGATGCATTGATTAGAGAAAATTGACAATTTTTAGTGATAAATTATTTGGTCATAATTGAATGTGTAAGGTATATATGACCAATATTAGAATTTTGTCATAATTGTAATGCATTATAGTGATGATTTTTATTGACAAAAATTTATTTTATCTCTATGAATATTTTTTGGTGACGAAATATACTTTTTATGATGAATTGTTTTTGTTCATTATTAAATATGTATACATCTGTGACTAATTTTTTAAATTTGTCACAATTGTGATAAATTACAGTGATAATTTTAAAATTTATCACAAATTTCTGTCACTAAAAATAATTTTTCTTGTAGTGATCTTTGGGCAACGAATCAGAAAACTAATGACCTCTTGACAATATTTAATACGCACACAGTAACTTGGTAGAGAATTGAGAAAGAACAGTTTTTTGTTTTTTTTTTTTGGTTATAGTTCGATGAGCTTCGAGGAGAACGAGATCAATTATACATATAAATACAAGACTCAAAAGATTGAGAGCACTTTAAGTTATTCTAAACTTATATCATTCAAAAGTTAAAATCACTGTACTTAAATATTCCTATTCTTTGCTTTAGCATACATATACTTTAAAAAAAAAAAAAAGTTAAAATTAGAAAAGAAAAAAGAGAGTGGAAAATGCATCCCAATTGATTTCCCAATAAGAAAAGGATATTGGCCTGAAATTTGAAGAGTATTCTTCAAGGAGCTCCTCATGAGAACTTTCAAACGGTTCTACTGCACGATATGTTTAACTTTGAAATTTAGATAGCTCTATGTAATAATACTAAATTAGAGTTACACCAATTTGAAAATTAAATGCAACCCTCAGAATTTTAACAAGTTTTGTTTCAAAATTTGTAACTTTTTATTTGCCTTTGAATGTTATTATTTCTAATACCATTGAAAGTGGACAAATAATTGATTAAGATTTTATGTTAATTTACTATGTAAAATTTGTATATAAACAAATTTTTATTATATATATATTTTTTAAACAACAATTTATTAAATAGATCCTTACTATATATATATATATATATCTATGTGGTTCCTTTTCCTTGTTTTAGTAATAATACTTCAGCAATATTATAGTTACAATATTACCCAATTTAAACAATCATAGGTAGCA